TCCCCCACAGTATAACCCCTGTTTTCACTGTATTTGATGTTGGTATAATTTGTGGAGGGGAAGGGAAAAAACAAATTGCTTAAATAGGGATACAGTTGGACCCATTGCACCAATGAGATGCACAAGACGTTATGTCAAAAATGAAGTATACATCTTTGGCGCGGGAGGGGGATTGGGGGAGTGAAGGGGGTGGTAAGGGGGGGAGATGGGAAGGGATGGGAAGGGGAAACAAAGGAGGAGGAAACAATGCTTGATAAGAAATGCGCTCATTACCTTGTCCATGTAATTGTAACCCCTCTGTACAGTATTTTCACAATAAAATATTTATTTAAAAAGAAAGTCACACACTATGTTCAAGTTGCTTTCATTCCAGGTATGCAAGGTTGTCCAACATATGGAAGTCGATACATAATACAGCATAGAAACAGAATAAAAGATGAAAATATATCATCATTTTGGTTGATCTTGAAAAAGCTTTTGTCAAAATTAATCATTCTCGCATAATAAAAATCTCAGAAGAAACCAGGAACAGAAGGAAATTAACTGAACATAACATAGGCTTTATGTGACAAACCTATAGTTAGTATACATACTAAATGATGAAAAACTAAAATCATTTCCTCTAAAGTAAGCAATGAGACAATGTGTTCATTCTTATTAAACATAGTACTGGATCCCTAGCCAGAGGAATAAGGTAAGAGAAAGAAATACAAGGGATCCAAATAGTGAAGAAAGAAGTACAATTATTCCTGTCTGCAGATAATATGACCCTAAAGGCAAAATACACTAAAGATTCCACTAAAGATCTGATGAATACCTTTCACAACATAGAATGATAAAAAAAATCAGTAATTTTCTGTATACCAACAATGAACAGGTGGAGAAATAGAAATGGAAAGCAATCCCATTTAGCCTCAAAAATATACTTAGGAATAAACTTAAACAAGGTGCCAAGAAATTTCTGCAATAAATTATAAAACCTTAAAGAAGGAAATGGATGAGAACACTAGGAAAGAGCTCCCATGCTTACAAATTGGGAAAATTCATATTGTAAACTAGCTATCCTACTGAAATCAATCTATAAAGTCAATGCAATTGCCATCAAAACCTCAATATCATTCTTCAAAGAAACCCCAAATAGTTAAAGCAATCTTGAGTGAAAAGAGAAATGCCGAAAGTATCACAATTCCAGAGTTGAAAAGATCCACAGAATGGAAAATCTTTATGAGGCATACATACAAAAAGGGATTAATATTCATAATATAGAAGAATTTCCTACAACTGAATAAGAACAACAAAAAATAAACAACTCAATCAAAATATAAAGTATCTATCTAAAAAGATAAATGGCCAACAAGCACTTGAAAAGGTGCATAACATCACTAGTCATTATGGAAAGGTGAATGATAACCACAATTACATTGCTACTGCATATTGATAATTATGCCTATTATGCAATGTGGATGGAATAAATGGTGAAGATATAGGATTTGAATCTGTCAGAACCCTTGTATACAGCTGACAGAATGTAAAATGGTATAGCCACTGTGATTCTTTCAAAAATTTAAACATGGAATGTCCATATGCTCCAGCAATTTCACTTCTAGATATATATCCAAAAGATAGAAAGTGGGAACTCAAACGTACACTTCTATCTCTATATTTATAGTATCAAACTCAATGTCCATTATTGGATGGATACATGAGTGTGATGTATTCACATAATTAAATATGACTTAGATTTAAGGAGTAAAATTAATATATAAGCTATAATATGGGCAAATTAAAAACACTATGTTAAATGAAAGAATGCTGATATAAAAAGACAAATATATAATTCCTTCCACTTTTATAGAGGATCTAGAATAGGCAAATTCACAGAGACAGAAAGTAGAATAAAGATCAGAGGTTTGAGGGAAGGGGAATATCTATTTGAGATTAAAAAATGTTATTCAGATGGACCATGGTGATAGCTATACAACATTGTGAATGTATTTAATGTCACTGAATTGTACACCTAAACCAGTTAAAATAATAAATATTATGTTAGGTATAATATACTAAAATATATTTCTGAAGTAATAGAAAGAATATTTATAATGGTTTTAATGGCCTCTAACTTTGAAGGAATCCAAAAGTCTTTCAATGGGTAGATAAATAGAATGTGGCACATCCATACAATGAAATACTACTCAGCAATAAAAAAGAAGAAACTGTTGACATATGTGGCAATTTGGACGAATGTTAGCCATTATTCTGAGTGAAATAATCCAGCCACAAATGTACTGTTTAAGTCTATGTTGCATTATCAAAAAGACAAAACTATAGTGATGAAGAACAGATCAGTGGTTACCAGGGACTAGTGGTGCATAGAGGGTGTAGCTATAAAGAGGTAGCATAAGAGTATTTGGGAGAGATGAAACTGTTCAGCATACATTCTAAAATATGGTATTAGGTACTCAAATTTGTATGTTTGTATATGTATTCAAATTAGAATTGAACACCAAGAGAATCCATTTTATTCTATGTTTAAAAACTTTAAAAAGTATTATACTATGATAAAATTTAATGGGAGGTTTAAGACTCTAGAATTGTACTATAAAAGCCTTACAAAACTGTTGAAATCACAAGTTTGAAAAACTGATAGGGTAGAAAAAAACACATTAAAATTAGGTTTATTGTTAAAATTTTCTATAATTTCACGAACATTTAAAAGAACTATAAAAGAACTTGTAGATCAATAAAAACAGAAGTTATATTTCAACCTCTAGCCTTAATTTATAATAACTGGATCAAAACTTTTTCCTCAAAGAGCACAAATTAACATATACAATTGTGCACAAAATCAAAATGGAATCGTATGATTTTCTGACTACCATATTGTGCTATCATGTGGTATAAAAGAAATAAGGTAAATCAAAGTAATTAGCAACTTTCCTGTTTCTAAAGTTAAGCAAACACAGTTGGATGCACTGAGACAGCCTAAACAACTATACGAACAATTGTACAAGGCAGTTTCTTCACAGCTACTTTGAACAGGTGCTCTTAGCTCTCCAACTACTATGTTGTATTACTTAGGAATACAAACAATCATTGGCCACTGACTACAAACTTAGGTAAGCAATTAATCCTTAACTGTATTGTCAATGAAACCTCTGCTCTTTCTCACAACCTCAAAGATCAGAAGTAAACTGCTGGTGTCTGGAATGACTCTGCACTTGCTTCCATTATATTTTAGGTTTACTTCCCCTCTCTGTTCTCTGGAGACAAAGCACAGCTGTTCAGTATCCTTTATAGAAGTGTTTTCTTCTAGAAGTTTCCCAAGGGCCATTACTAAGTGTAAGATTTGTATATGAGTCATTTTCCATCTGCATATGGTTAAGTGCACTTACAGCATGATTATTATAAATAAAAAGGCAAAATGAAGCATTTAATTATCGCTTTCTGGGAAAGCATTATTTTTGGATTTTCAATTGCCTCTTATTCTGTTGTATAGGAGAAGATTGTCTTCTCTACAGCAGATTGTAACAATGCCTTGAATATTGTCCTTAGATCTCTTTTCAAAATTTCAGGTTCACACTCAAATTATCTACAGAATCTAATGCTATATTTCTTGCTTTTTATTTTATTTTCTTAAGAAAAGATTTTATTAGCACTCATTAGTTGATAAGTGGAAGTTCATGGTGATATTGCCATATATCCATACAATGTACTCCACTAATGCCATCTCTTCTATTGCTCTTACCCCCCGGCTCCTTCTTCAAACAATTTCAACAGGTTTCATTATTCTATGTTCACATAAGCATATAAAGTATTTCAACCATATTCACCCTCAATGGACCTGTTTTCCTTTCCTGCATTTATTGTGTTAGTGTATATTAATTGTGCCAAGAAGTTTCTCCATGGTATTTCACACATGCATATATTGTGTTTTCATCAGAATACCTCCCCCCTTAATTGCTCTCTCTGCTTCTTAACCTCTCTTTATATTTCTAAATTGAGTATGGGCCCAGTTCTAGCTACAGTGTTATGCAAAAATTTCTTCTAACAGTATTTTTAAAAACCTATTATCTTAATAGCATACAAGATGAAGAGAATAGAAGGGACAACATGGCAGAAAGTAGCTATTAACACTCTTCAACTCTGAATGGCTAACCAAAGGATGGGGATGTCTATGTCTCTATCCATCTAGATCTATGGACTCACACTATAACAGTGGTCTTCAGAGATTATGACACACCAGGAAGGTTGGGAGTCAGGTGTTCTTATAAAAGTGAGCCTCTAATATGTGCTTTTTCACAACCTAGACTCTGGACATCCGGGAAATTACAAATCTATCGGGGTCAAACAGAACACCACAGCCTCGGTGAAAAGAATTGCTGACATTTTCATTTTGTCATAACATGGGCCTCAGCCCTGGGTTCTCCTGAAATATTGTGGCCTCAAAATGGCATGAGGATCTGAATATTGCAGGAAAGAAAAATAGCTTCAAATTGATTCACTTGTAATCTAGAAAAGATGTGACCTGGTTTTATAATCAAGTGAGTGTTTTAAGGTTGCACAGAGATTTCTGAGGGATGTGTTTTCTTTATAATGAACTCACAAGACTATAGACTGGGAGAAGAAAAAGAACATGAAAAATATAGGATTACCATTTGGATGTAGCTTTCTTCCTCTTCTCTGGTAACAGAATTGGCAAAAAATCTTGCAGAATTAATATTGTTTCTTTCTGGAGAGAGAAAGCTGGTTCGATTGCTAAGAACAAAAAATATAGATGAGGTCAAGGCAATGTCTTACAGCTGTTCTGAAAGGCAGCCAGGAACTGACATGGCCCCATGGGGTTTGAGCCCTCCTCTTCCAGACACAACTTCCTTCCGGCCCAAGCAATTTCTGAAGAAGCAGAGACTTTCCAACAGCTCTGTTCCATTCTGGGGCAAATGGCTCACAATGTCTTTTTCCTAGGTCCCCAATCTGATACAGCTTATGAGCTTTCTAGAAACAAACCAGTTAACAAAAACAAAACAGAAAAGAAACCCGCAAAATAACCCCACTTATTTAGGGAAAAGCCCTACTTCTTTGGAGTCTGTTAGTGTCTAGAGTAACCAGGAAAAGCAAGAAGGTATGGTCACCATTCTGAGAGGACAAGAATAAGACTGTGGAACAATTTCTATCATTCTCTTGAAGAGAGAAACACAGTCTGTATATCTCTGAAGTTTTCCCTGGAAATACTACTCGTTTCAGAATTCTGCTTTACAAAGTCATTGTGCTTTGTGGTATTTGCTGTGAACCAGGAAACTACTGGGCTAGCCTCAGGACTCTGCAAATGAAATTTCTAAATGGTAGATGAGTGAGTGCAGGTAGATTTTTGGGTCTCTCTACCCAACTCATGAAATATCCCACCATCTCTGAGAGCTATTTTATGCCACATTCATAAAGTTGGACTTCTGGTGGTCAGCTATTAGTCCTGGCCCTGTCCCTGTGTCATAACTGTTCACTGTGACAGAATTCTACATTTCTTTCTTCTCAGGAAATCTGAGTTTGGATTGAAAAAGAACTCATGTTTGTTGGCACTGAAATTTAAGCTTGTAAATCAGCTCAGGATCTATAGGACAGCTATCTTTAACCACAAGAAAAAAAGAGTTTTGCAAAGACAGATGATTTAGAAGATGCAAAGGAACAAGAGGAGATGAGAGAATGAGAGAGATGATTTGTGCTCCAGTTCCTGGCTCCTGGCTCTTGAATCTCAGAAAACCCAGTCATATTCCATCCTTTGTGCTACAAAACCACTTGCGACTGTGGATAATAAACCCAGCCCCTTCTTTGGGGGTTGCAACCACAAGAGGCCGACCTAAGGCTGGAGGTGACAATCAGACACTTACCAAGGCACAGTGCAGGTCCTGGCTAGCGATGCATGTTCCCGGATGGTGGAGAGGTTTCTCAGGTCCAGGGGAGGTGGCCGTGCTATGAGATAATGCAGTTCATTTTCAGGGATTCAAGACCACAACCTGAAGACTATAATAAACTGCAACATTCCACTTGCAAACAACTATCAAGCAAATGGTCACATTACCTGCTGGAGGTAAGACCATTCATTAGTCAACACACATTTTTGAGACCTCCTGTTGGTTAGGCCTGATTCTAGGTGTTTCAGACATACTATGAAACGACCAAGAAAAATCTCTGACCACGTGGAATATAAATGCATTGCAGACACTCCATGTGTCTAAGAGGCAGAGAGAATCTCCAGGTTCTACTCCTACCACCTCCAGAACATCATCTGCTTGCAGATTCTTTTGCCTAAAATATTCTTCCCTATGTCCCTGGTTCTTCATCTTCACAAGTCAGCTGAATTTCTCCTGCTTAGAGAGCCCTTCTTTGACTTCCAGACAGGATTAGACCCTAGGTCATGCATTTCATGGGTTCCTCTTTTTGGTGTGTTCACTGAAGTAGCCTCTGCATCTAGAGAAGGGCTTGGTATTTGCCCTCAGTGGTATCTGACTGCTTTGCTCTCTACTTCCTCCACTGTACTGTAATGGACAGAGACTACTTAAGTCTTCTCTGGGTCACCTGAGCCTGTGACAGTGACCTTCCCATTGTCCAACTATTTTCTCAGGTGCCTTGGGTCTGGGCAAATGGCTGGGCTGGAAAGAGCACATCAGTTACCTGGTTCCTGGGAGGTGTCTCCTGGCAGCACAATGAGCACTCTCATCCCAGAACTCATTCCTTCTCACACAAGATTCCACTTTTGTACCTACCTGCTGAACATCCAGCCCTAAGTCAACCAAAAAACTTCTCTCTGCCAGTGATCAATAGACATATATGGCTATTTATAATCACAATATGACCAAATGTATTGAAATTAAATAAAAATAAACTGCAGTTCCTCAGTCACATTAGCCACACTTTACATGTTCAATAGTTACATTTATATCACCACAGAAAGTTCTACTGAATGGTATTTCTATACAAAATTAATTGAGTAAAACAATAATAGGCACTTAAAAGTTATAAGGCCCCTGTGAAATTGTTTCTCATCAGAATTGATAGTTATTTCCTCTGTACCTCTAAGACAGAGTCTGTACTTCTATTTAGTACTGACTTCATAATTCTTTTTCTTCCAGGTGTTTTTTTTTATATATTTTCCTTCCTCTCAGACTGAATACTTCTTTCTTCCTCACGTTTGCGAACCATGCAGTGCTTAGCATAGCACTACACACATAAAAAATGCTCGGCAAACAGGCAAATATGGTCTGTTTCAAACTCAAGGGGGTATGATTAGGATGAACCAGGCATTAGTAGGGGCCTTAGCAGCCTTGAGAACAGATCATATGGATTATAAAAGACCACAATTACTGTATCAATTGCGTCCATGTAATCACACAGCCTACTGGGAAAATGAGGTTGCAAAAGAATCAAGTTAAGAAGTCCCTTTGACTTGTCTTTTCTCTTTCCCACTTTCACCACTATGTCTGTCTGTGAAGTGTAGCAGAACAAAGAGGCTGCCTGGAAGTGGTAACACAGAAGCTAAAGATGTCCTGTGTGCACAGGAGTTAGATTGCTCATTTCTTAAGTCTTCTACCATCCACATCCAGGTTTGCTGAGGAGTATGCACAGAGAAATAAGTGATACATTGAATTTGATGATGTAATATATTAAGAAATTGGTGTTGAAGGTCATTCTTGGCTGCAAGAAGGCTGGCACTGTGGTTACATTCAAGTATTGGTTAAATGAGGAAATGCTGCATGACTTTCATTCTAATTCATCATCACCTATCTTCATCATTGGAAACAGCCAAAGATGAGTTCTGTGGTGTGAATTTGTAGGCTTCATATTTAGGGCCACAATTTCTATAATTTCCCTAAGTCCTTTTGTCATTACAGTTTGGGTCAGTAAAGTGCCCAGTCCTTCCCATTTTATCTCGGCCATTTCTTCCTTGTACTTTGTAGCTCTTGGGATAGTCTTCTAGTGCTTCCTCCTCAAGTATTTTTGCTCTTCTCCCTGACATAGCAGGTCTGACCAAGTGCTTACCTTTCCTTTGAGGTTTGAGATCTCTGTTCACTGGAGGAGGTTCCAAGTTTGCAGGTAACTCAGGCAGTAGGCTTGAGATGCTTCCTGAGCTCATTGGGATGTAGTCATCCTGGCTGCAGTGGGTTCCAAGACCAGAGGCAGTGAACTTGGGGCTCATGGGCACATAGCCGTCTTCAGTACTGGCTGAAGTTGCAGGGCACACTGGAGAAAATTTGCATGGCTGCAAGAGAACAGTAATAGATTAGGAACCCATTAGACTCATGATGGAAACTGCTACCAATGGCCACAAAGGTTGTGCATATAGTTTTAATTCCAGATTGCTCAACAATTATGAATATCTTCAAGAAATTTAGACAAGCCTCTACCCAAAGTTCTGCACATAGATCTAATGTGTGAGAATAGAAGATAACCCCCCTAGATTTGATGCTGGAAGACTGAAGGTTTTTAACTTATCATGCAAATGTTTTGAGTATAATATGGTGCTTAAGTCTGTTATCTCAAGTAGACCAATGTGTAGATTACTTTTTTTTTTGTTTGGTCGGTCGTGGGGCTTGAACTTGGGACCTGGGTACTGCCCCTCAGCTCTTCAGCTCAAGGCAAGCGCTCTACTGCTTAAGCCACAGTGCCACTTCCACTTTTTTAGTGGTTTATTGGAGATAAGAGTCTCATGGGCTTTCCTGACCGGGCTGGCTTTGAACCGTGATCCTCAGATCTCAGCCTCCTGGGTAGCTAGGATTACAGGCGTGAGCCACCGGCGCCTGGCCAATGTGTAGATTACTAAAATGTTTAGGGTCCTTATGGAACACTAAGTCCAGTAATTCTCCAACCAACTGAAGTCCTAAGGGGAAAATAGATGAATCCTTAGAGATTCCACGAACTGAATTTCAAAAGATTTTAAGGGAACAGATACAATGCAGGCTATTTTTGGTTAAACTTAATCTTAAAGGAACCTGAATACCAAACTTACCAGGTTTAAACTTAGCCGCTTGTCTCGGTGTTTTAAGGATTGGCCTTCTATGTCAGCTGCAAGAAACAAGCTGGAGTGATGAGAACTGCAAGACATTATCAACAGAAACTAGGGTCCAAGACCCTATACTCTCCAAGGTCTGTGCTCAGCTCCAGAGATGGAGAGAAACAAGAACACATAATTTCAATACACTTGGCTTGATATTGAGTCTAGCTGAGCAGTCAGAACTCATTCCCCAAACACATGGCAAATCAGTCCAGATTTTGAAGAAGATAGAAATCTCTATCTTCTCTCTATGAATAGGGAAGAGATAGCAAGTATGAGCAGGTAATTAACAAATGCTTATTGCATTTATTACATAACTCCTCTGAGTTTAGACATGGTGGAAGTAGAGGAGGGTGTTGAGAGGAGAGGTTTGAAATATTCTTTGCAGTGAGCAGGAGAACAAGGTAGACAGAGAATCAACAACATCAAGTGGCCGCATTGAGGGCCCAACTGAGATCTATGATCATGAATCAGTGACCATGATTTTCTGTAGCCATAGTCAGCTACTCAGGCATAGCCATAGATAGGATAGTTGGATTAATATATGACTAGAAATGTGTAAGATGGGTGTGAAAATGAAACCCAAAATTTAGAATAGTTGTTAAATTCAAAGAAGTGTCCAGAGGGTATCCTGAATACTACCTAATAATGCCAAATGATACCACCTAATAATACCAAAGTCAGACAAAGAGAATATAAGAAAAGGAAACAAGGGCTGGGAATGTGGCTTAGTAGTAGAGTGCTTGCCTAGCATGCATGAAGCCCTCGCTTCTATTCCTCAGTAACACATAAACAGAAAAAGCCAGAAGTGGTGCTGTGGCTTATGTTGATAGAGCTCTAGCTTTGAACCAAAGAAGCTCAGGGACAGTGCCCAGGCCCTGAGTTCAGTCCCTAGGACTGGCAAAAAAAGAAAAGGAAACAAGACACACACACACACAAACACACACACACACACACACACACACACACACACACCATAGATATACAATTCCTCTAAAAATATGAATAAATTGAATTAACAATGTAAAAACATTATATACGAGGGCCAAATGGAATTTACCTCAGGTATACAACGCTAGTCCAATATTTGAAAATCAATAAAGTAGGAATAAAGAGAAACTGCAACTTGATAAAGAAAATCTACAATAAACTTTATTGGGATTTTAAAAAAAATCTTTCATTCATGATTTTTTAAATCAATTAAGTATGATGGTAGCTGTACTTAACGGTGAGAAACTCAAATATTTGCTCTATAAAGAGCAAAGCAAGGACATCCCTTGTCCCACTAATTTTTAACACTGCACTGGAAGTACTAGCTAATGCAACATGACAAACAAAGGTAACTAAAAGTGTACACATTAGAAAGGAAGAAACAAAGGAAAAATGACATCATTATCATATAAAATGTGAAAGAATCAACAAAAATTTCTTGGAATAAAAATATTCCTGGAATAATACATTATTGCAAGGTTTTAGAGTATAAAGTTATATAAAATTCACTCACTTTCCTATATACCAACAATGACCCATGGAATTTGAAATTAGAAACACTACTATCTATAACAACACACCTCAAAAATGAAATGTGTTTATTTGGTATAAATATAACAAAATACTACCAGATATATGTAAGGAAACCTACAAAACTCCTAAAATAAATCAAAGAAATAAATAAGTGAACTGGGTGTTGGTCATTCGCAACTGTAATCCTCACTATTCAGGTTGCTGAGCTACAGAGGATCAATAGTTGGGGCCAGCCTGGGCAAAAAAGCCTGAGACTACATCTCCAAAACAAAGTGTTAGAGGCCTGGCTCAAACAGCAGAGTGCCATCCATGAAAAAGAAAGCGGAAGCCTGGTGCTGGTGGCTCATGCCTGTAATCCTAGCTACTCAGGAGGCTGAGATCTGAGGATCCCCATTCAAAGCCAGCCTGGGTGGGAAAATCTGTGAGACTCTAATAAACCACCAGAAAACCAGAAGTGGTGCTGTGGCTCAAGTGGTAGATTGCTCTCCTTGAGCTGAATTGCTGAGCAAGTGTAAAGCTTTGAGTTCAAACCCCTGTACAAGCAGGAAAAAAAGCCAAACTCTTCCAAGTTAAGCTGGTAGTCCTTGCCCAGGTTTCTCTCTGTATCTGAATTATAACACTTGACACGTACCTTTCCAGGTTCTCACGTGGTCTAAACCAGAGATAGAGATTCTTCTGGGCACCACACTGCATTCTGGCTTCTTGCCATACCCATGCCACAGGACCTGCTCTTCTTGGCGCCGTTCAGAGAGATAACTTGGCTTAGGGGGACGGGGAGGTGGACTGTTGGACATAATGTCTAGTTCTTTTGCTCCAAGGGGCAAAATAGCTTGTTTTTTATCCACACAAGCAGTGGGATTTAAGGCTGTTTCCAACAGTGGTAAAGAAGACAAGTGATCCCTAGGTGGACAGTTGATTTCTCTATTCCAGATCACAGAAGGCTGGAACCTCATGGACGCCATCTCCTGAGATCCATTCCCCTGGCGTGAGGGGTGCACCAAGCTACTGGAGGGTAGTGGCTGCAGGCCATCAACAAAAACGTCGTCAAATGAAGTCTGCTCCAATGAGCGATCTGAATTTGACCAGCTATCACATCTGGTGGGAAGACTGAGGGAAGAAAAGCATGTAAATCTGACTATGTACCCATCTACTCATGAAAACATCCATGTGGGCCTCATTCCCATTCCTTCAGTACCACTTTTTTTTTCTACTTGTAGAGTCATATTCCTTCTACAACCCTTGGTACAGGAAAAATTTTGTTGATTTTTAAAAAAATTCTTTAGAAGCTTCAGATGCATATGAAAATGAAAGGCTACAAATGAAAGCCACAATGCCAAAGTACATGACTCATTTTGTTTAGGATACTGCTTCATCTTTCATAGTGGTTGATAGTGATCAGTGGTACGAAGAGAGGTGACAGCAGACACACCCACCAGAAAACAGTCCCACTAAACAGGCTGATTTTGTCAGGTGCACTGAGCACATCTCAGAAGCAAATTGTGCAGGAGGAGGCAGTTCAGGCTCTGAGAACAGAGGAGAGTATGGCAGAAGGCCCAGCTCAGACAGTCCCATGTGTAAGCGTACCTGGTATGGTGCAGTCTTCCAGTCTCACAGTTGGACAGGACCAGATAATCAGGAAGGAAGAGAAACTCTGACTCACTTCTGGTTTCCTCAGTGGTCATGGTATTGGTGTTTGGGTTACTTCTTGGCAAAGAAGAGCTGGCAGCATGGACAGTATGAAGAGAGCTGGCAGGGGATGGCCTGAGGGAGGAGGGCATGCGAGAGAGGCTCTCCATGGAATCTGCTGGAGAAATCATTTCCCAGGTTAGTTTTTTAAGAATGGCTATAACACTCACTCAAAATTTCACAAACAGCATTCAAGAAGCCAAATAGAAGATGCAAATCACAGCTGGTGTTTGTACTGATGGAGGCGACCATTTCCCCAAGCTATAAACAATGTCTGGGAAAGAAAGCCAATGTTCCAAGAGTGAAGTGTTGAATCAATTAAGAGTAAAAAAAAAGACAGCATTCTTGGCCTGAAACTCTGCAGTTAGATAGTCTACAGACAGCCTCTTTATGGCCCTCAGCAGCAGTCTTGCATCATTGTTTATTCACTCAACAAATATACATATACATGTATGTATTTATGTATAACAAGTCTATGTTATATACTTACACATACATTTATGTATAGATGTGTGTTGAGGGCTTGGTACCCAGCTGGTGGATCTAATTGAGAGGTTATTGGATCATGAGGGTTCTGACCACATCATGGACTGGTGGAATTATTGAGTGGTGAGAGGAATTGGACCTTGCTGGAGAAAGTAGGTCATGGGAGCAAGTCTTTGGGTGCTATATCTTTTCCTGCCCCTTTGCTTCCTGTTTTCCATGAAGTGAGCAATATGCCTGCTGTCGTTCTATGTCAGGTTCAAAGCAATGAATCCAACTGACCATGGATTGAAACCCCCAAACTGTGAGAAAAAAATAAATCTCTTTTCTATTTCAGTGGTTTCAGGTATTTTTCACAGCAACAAAGACTGATGAGCACAGAAAATTGGAACTAGGAGTGACAATGTGGTTCAGGAGCCTTTGTTACATGTGGTGTATTATATGTGGCAAAGACCTTGTCTGCATTCTGTACATACACTGGGACATTAAATACGGTTAAGTTTAAAGATGATGCACTAATTAATATGGAGTAGGAAATTTCAAGGCAGAATTCATGCATGGTATGGTTATTAACAGTTACTGTTAGGTAGGTTTATAGTGGAAATCTAGAGCAAAAGGCAGAACAAATAAACTTGCAGTGTGGGCAGAAAAATCCACGTAAAGTTGGGGTTAAGGAAGTTATGGTTCTTAAGGAGATTAGCACCATTTAAAAACTCCAAGTAAGGTTGGCACCAGTGGCTCACGCCTGTAATCCTAGCTACTCAGGAGGCTGAAATCTGAGGATCGCGGTTCAAAGCCAGCCTGGGCAGGAAAGACCGTGAGACTCTTAGCTCCAATAAACCACTCAGAAAACCAGAAGTGGTGCTGTGTCTCAAGTGGTAGAGCGCTCTCCTAGAGCCAAAGAGCTGAGTGGTAGAGCACTCGCCTAGAGCGGAAGAGCTGAGGGACAGCATCCAGGCCCAGAGTTCAAGCCCCACGACCAACAAACAAACAAAAAAACAAACAACCTCCAAGTACTTTGTGCTAGGACAGTAGAAAAGATGTCTTGAGGACGTCTGTGGAATTAGTGTGACCTCAACCATCATTACATGGTCAATGGTATGAAAGTCTAAACTTGTTTGAAAGACTTTCCTTTGAGGGGAATGCCACTAAGGTGGCTGGCTAGGCTGCCTAGGGAAGTCATTACTTCAAGTGCAGTTGCCCAGGTTCTCAGAGGTCATTGTAGTGTGTTCCACCTAGTTTGAACTAGTGGCAGATATCACCATTATTCACATGACACCGGTTTTGTTTTTTCCCATGCAGAATCTAAGAGCTGCAGGATCTCAGATGCTTCTCTGTAGATGTCAAAGGAAAATGCAGGAGGCCAGGCCAGGCTAGGCAAAATGTGGTAGTTTGAGTTCCAGGGCAGCTGCCTATGCGAGGACAATGCATGAAACTGAAGGTAAAGCCAAAGACATAATAGAGACCCCAGGAAGCTCAAGATATCAGGAATGCAGAACATCTACTCAGGAAAACTGTAGGCAGTGAACAGAACTAGCCCAAGAGAGAGTCCATGTAAGCTGCAGCTAGCGAGGATATAAAGGATGGACTGCCCAGCCCTATGGAGCTCACAGCATGACAACTTGTTCCCCAGATGCTGGACATGGACTTACAGATTTTTTGGGGGGGGGTCCGGTCATGGGGCCTGAACTCTGGGCCTGGGCGCTGTCCCTCAGCTCTTCAGCTCAAGGCTAGTGCTCTACCACCTGAGCCACAGTGCCACTTCCGGCTTTTTTCTTTTTGCTTATGTGGTGCTAAGGAATCAAACCCAGGGCCTCATGCATGCAAGGCAAGCACTCTACTACTGAGCCAGCTTCCCAGCCCCGGACCTACAGATTTCTAAATCATTTCTTTATTGTCTTTAATGAATTGTACAAAAAGGTGTCCATTTATGTGTGCAGTACATCTTGGTCCTGTCACCCCTTCCATCATTCTCCCCCTCTTCCCATTTATCCCAACCCCACTTGTCCCCTAAGGTTTCCTAGATCCATTTTTACATATATATATATTGAGTATTATGACCAGCTCTGCCCACCATTTCTCTCTCTCCATTTGTCCACCTTGTGTCTTTAACTTGCACTCCCCTCAGACAAGACCTGTTTTAGCTTCCTGGTATTCATTTTGTTGAATTGCCTGTTAAGTGTGCAAAGAGGTTACACCATGGAAATCTACCCCTGTTCATAGATGTTTCTATTTTAGATCTAACTTCCACATATGAGAAAAAACATATCCCCTTTGTCTCTGGGCCTATTTTACTTCACTCAATATATTTTTTCTAGCTCCACCAAATTCTCTACAAATGATATATATTATGGATGAAGAAAGTTCTAATTCTAATTTTTATTGACACATTCATTTGTAGAGCATCTGGGCTGTTTCCATGACTTGGTATTGTGAATAGTGCAATAATGAACATGGGTGTACAGGTACTTTTATTGTATCTTGACATGAAATCTTTTGGATAAATGCCCAAGAGTAGTATTACTAGATCATAGAGTAGTTCTATTTTGATTTTTTTGGAATTGCCATGCTGACTTCCATGGTGTTTGCCCTAATTTAACATTCTCATTCTCATCAGTGGTATAAGAAGGTTCCTTTTTACCTGAATTCTTACTAGCATTTGTTTTTGTTCATATTCTTGATGATAACCACTCTGACTGGAGCAAGAGGGAATCTCAATTTGTTTTGATTTGCATTTCCTTTATGGCTAGAGATGTTAAACATTTCTTCATGTATTTATTTGTAATTTTTACTTCCTTTGAGAAGTCTCTATTTAGCTTTTTGCCTATTTAGTAATTAGGCTATTGATTCATTGGGGGTTTTACTGTTTTGAGTTCCTTGTATATTTTGTTTATTAGGCCTTGTCAGACATACATTTCAAAGATTTCCCATTCTGTAGGCTGTTTTTTTTGTTTTGCTTTGTTGTTGTTTTTCACCATATAGAAGCTTTTTAGATTGACCAAATCCTATTTGTTAGTTCTTTCTTGCTGAGCCCCTGGAATTCTACTCAGGAAATTCCTGCCTATGCCAATAAGTTCTAGTGTTTTCTCTAGCTTTTCTGTAATGGTTTCAAGGTTTCAAGATCTATAGAACGTAATGTTTGCCCTGTTGGGTTTTGGTCTTTCATTGGTCTGATCTTTGCTTGCTATGATCATATTCTTCCCTTTCCGAATAGGAATGTTTACTCTTTGTCACTGTATGTTAGGACCATGTAAATTGTTTCTTTGAATTTTGCAAGACTTGAGCTTCTGTAGAGACTTTCAAATTTTGAGCAATGCCTAAACTGTTGAGATTTTGATTGTACATAGGATAGTTATATCATTCTGAGTGAAGTTACGACATTTTTATTGTCTTTATTTGGAAACTAGGTATGGTTTAAGGACTTGTGTTTGGGTGTCAAGTTGATAAGGAGTGGACTTGTGATCATCTTGATTTTCAACTTCACTGCATTGTCCATATGCCCGTGAAGGCATTTTGAGGGACAATTAACTAAGTGGGTAAGATATGCCCTGAATGTGGGAAGAACCATTCAAAATAAACCAGGGTTCCTGGCAACAAATGGGGAAGAAGAAGGAAGCCCGTGAGCAAAGGCTCCACCACATGCTCTTGCTGTTATAATGTTCTGCCTTACCACAAACCCACAGCAATGGAGCAAGTGAACTAAAGACTGAAACCTTTGAAACCAAAATAAATCTTTCTTTTTAAGTTGTTTTCCTTGGATATATGCCAAAGCAATGAAAAGTCTTATTAACACAGTGTACGTGTATATATAACCTAGTATTGCATCCACCATGTGACTAGAACTGTTCTAACCCTGATGATGTATCTGAGACAAAGACCTTGATCTTATCAGAGTACATTCTAACAGAAGAGTCAGACAAATAACACATAAGAAAAGAATTGTATTAATAATTCTTATCAGTAAAGAACAGGAAATACTTTCTCAAGAAGACTAACATTTTCTCCATCACCTGAGATCATGACATTACGATCAGAAAAGGCCAATGAGAAGCCTGCTTTTATTTCTCTTTTGAGCCAAACTGGCAGTATAGGATTCCTGAGTCAAAGAGACCCTAAACTACCTTGGTTCAAGTATGGGCTCTAGGACCTACTCATCATGTTACCACTTACCTTCTCCAAGTTTACTTCTCTTCAGAGGAGAGATAATAATAACATATGTGCCATAGAACTAGTATGGGGATAAGACAAGTTAATATGCAGAAATGTTTTGTTCTGATTGATAGTACTGGGGACTGATCCTAGTCAAGGCTTTATGCTTGCTAGTCAGGCTGGTGTGACATGCTCCTATTCATGCCTCCTGGATATTTGGTATGGCTGTCACATTTTGCCACACCTAAGTATTGATTGAGGTGGGGGTCTCAGAACTTTTTTGTCCCTGGGCTGGCCTGGAACCATGATTATTCTGATCTTTGCCTTTCAAGTAGCTAGGATTATAGGAGTGAACCATCAAAGCCAGCTACAAAGGCATTTTAACAGAGCTTCTAGCCTAGGTACACATAATATGATTATTATTTTATGGTTGTTAGTGACAAAACACTATATAGTCATTCCTTTTCTCTACAGTTTTACTTTTCTTTGTTTCAGTTACCAACAATAAACTTTGGTCTGAATACGTGAAATGGAAAATTCCAGAAATAAATAATTCATTAGTTTTAAATTGCAAGCCATTCTGAGTAGTCTGATAAAATTTTATTCCATCCACACTGTGCTGCCTTCAATGTGAATCACCCCTTTGTTCAGTGTACTCACATTGCATACACTACCCACCCATTGGTCACGTAAGTAGTCCTCCTAGTTATCAAATAGACTGCCATAGTATCACAATGATTGTTTCAAAGTAGCAGTTATTTAGCTTAATAACGGTCCCAAGTGGAAGAATAGTGATGCTAGGAATTTGAATAAGGAAAAGAGAAATCATAAAGTGAACTTTTCCTCTAGGGAAAAGTTGAAAGTGTTTTAACTTAATAAAGAAAAAATCAGGCTTTGGTGGCTCACACCTGTATTCTAGCTACTTAGGAGTTTGAGATCTCAGGATCATGGTTCAAAGCCAGCCTGGTCAGGAAAGTCCATGAGACTATTATCTCCAATTAACCAGCTAAAAGCTGGAAGTGGAGGTATGGCTCAAGTAGTAAGAATATCAGCCTTGAGGGAGGAAGCTAAGGGCCAATGCCTCACATCCTGACTTCAGGTCCCAGTAGTGGTACACAAAAAAGGAAGGAAGGAAGAAAAGAAAAGGAAAAAAAGAAAGAATAATAGAGTTTGGCACTATCCGAGGCTTCAGGGATCCTTGGAATGAATCCAATGCAGATAAGCTATTGTATGTGAAAATTCACAAGACTTGCTTGTCCGATACCTTGCTCTTTATTGCTGTTGTATTTTTTAGATACTGGCAAAGCTATATATGTTACCTATATATGCTTTGGTATAAATTCTGGATGAGAAAAGAAACAAAGTTAGCATGTACCAGGATGCATGAATATGTACATAATTTGAGCTGAAGGCAGGGAACAGCAGGGCTGGAGGAATTGGTCAGACTGTGACTTTACAAATATGCTTCATTGATTAAACCAAGGATAAATAACTTTCCATCAGTTCATTTTCCTTTATCTGAATGTTCTCAAAGCTCAGCAGTGTGACTGAAAAGCCTTACTGAATACATTTGCTGGTTCATAAGAAGGAAAGAATGGATGCAAATAAGACTCCCCATTGCCACCTACTGTTAATGTGGGTATTTTAGTGCCAGATGGTGAAAATCAGTAACTACTGAAATACTAAAGGAACTGTAGTCCAGATTCAGGGGTACTGTTTTGTCTATTAGAATAAGCCATTAAAAAAGAAGATTTAAATTCAAAATTTCATATTTTGAGAATCAGGTTATTGTGTAATAATGCCAGGGCTCAACAACAAAATCCACAAAGGGATTACAATGCATTTGCTATATGATATGGGAGGGGTGGTGTGTGTGTGTGTGTGTGTGTGTGTGTGTGTGTGTGTGTGTGTGTGAGAGAGAGAGAGAGAGAGAGAGAGAGAAACAAGCAAGACAGAGATAGCAAGTGAGACAGACAGAGACAGAGAGTGAGAGAGACTGGATCCATTGTTTCCTCTACCCAGAAATGGTCCAGAGAAAACTTGCAGTTTATTTCCCTTGCAAACATCTGCAGTGCTGTTTGTGAGTAGATCCTACTTTTACATGTTTTGGGTTTTGGGTTTGAATCATAGGACCAGGTGAAAGAGCAATGTGGCATTTCCAGTACTTTACTGTATCTAATTGAGAATACCTCTGATGTTAATTAGATGGCTAAAATATTTTCAAGGAGCCAGGCCTGGCACATCGTACCATTTTCCTACAATGGCTCTCCAGTGGAGGTACACCATCCCATGCTGTCCCTTAGCACACAGGAGCTCCAGCTTTGCTCTTACCTCCACTGCCCTCCAGATGACTGAGGTTGCAGACCTGACTGATGCTGTGCACCCACACCTGCATTTCTTCTTCAGTCTTGGCCACCAGGTAGAATGTACGGGAAGTGGTCTTGACAATGAACACAAAATTATTCTGAAATTCCTTCCGAACGAACCCGGGGCCTGCATGTTTCCACACAGCACATTCACTGAGGTCTATCACACGGATGGGCTTGCTGGAGTGCTTGGTCCTGTAGTACTCCAAAACATCTGGGTTGCCACTCATGCGACCCCGCCGGAGGACAAACCAGCGCTTGCGCCATGCCTGCAGAAACAATTCAACATCGAGTTACTATAGTAAGTGCTCTTTCTTATCAGGCTCTTCCAAGAACAATATGTTGTAATTGAAGGAAAGAAACAAATCAGCCATTCTAATAATGAGAGAATTCGTTTTAAAGATCAAGTGCATCATCATCTGCAAGTCTTTATTGTGTGAACATAAGGATGGGAGTCCAAGGATGCAATTCACATCCATAGTTTTGACAAGGAAATGGGGGAACCTCTGGATTCCCTATCTCATTACATGTACATTCTATGCCACTGTGCCAGCCCACATGGCTAACACATCCTTGCATTAGCCCCAATTAGGAATTGAGCACAGAGACGGGCAACACGCTGACCTAGCAGGACTTCCTCCCACTACAGACTCTCATTGTAACAGTTGGCAAATGCAAATGGAGAAATTTATGGCTGTGTGGTTTTCTCTCCAGTGCTGTGGCATGTGTGACAGCCGGAAGTGTGGTGCTGCTGAGAGGCATGGTGAACAACGAGGCAGGAAGTCTTGTGAATCTAGCTTCATTTATTACTGATACTTTTATAAGCCTATCAGCTCTGATCAAGAGGCCAAGGAAAAAGGAAAAGCCATCATCTGTAATGTTCTCATCTCTCTTTCTTTCTCAGATAACATGAGACTTGAGGTAGCAAAGAATACAAAGAAGTGCTGAAAAGTGAAAATGAAGACCAATTGTCACAAAAGAGCTACAAGTATGCCTTAAACTAACAGCTGGCAGCCATTCCAGGTAAGTTGATGCAGGTAAAGCCTGGCTTGGTTCTGCCTTTACAGACATATAAAGCTCTGAGGAAAGGTTTGCTTCTCAGGAGATCGACAAGGCAGTGCTTTTAAGACAGGGGAAAACAAGAGCATGTTCACATGCTCATTGAGATAAGCTAGGACAGAGGAAAGATGAATGGTTTCATGATCTCATGTTGCAAAAACATGACATTGGATGGCAAGGGACCACTTGTCTTGCCTGGAGATTTGGAACATGGGAGGTGGAAAACTTGAACTTATGGCAAAGACTGGCAAACAAGGCACGGGATAATGTCATGTGTGCCTACTGAGGAAAGCTTCAATGGGGAGCTTGGAGTGCCCCCAAAATTTCCAAGGGCCAATTTAGTGGGGAAATGTGAAGAGGAACTTTGCTGAACTTCTCAAAAAAATAAGGTTCTAAAAGAGGAAGTCCAACTGAGCACAGACAAATTTCATATTAACTGCCCTTAATGCAAGGGGAAATGACACAGAAAAGTATTCAGTTCATTCATACAACTAGCAATATTAATATTGCTGGACGCTGGGAAAGCCATGTCAAAGCAAGCCTCAGACCTTGCCATTCACAATCTTCTCAATGTCAGGGGAAGTGGGCAGATGGATAGGGAGATAATTACAGCCAGTGAGATAAGTGTTACGATAAGAGAAAGCCAAGATGCTGCAGGGAGCACAGAGTCATCTATCAGACCAGTGGTCTGAGGACACTCCAGGAAGATCTGGGGCTAAGGTGAGATTGAAACAGGGCAGAGGAAGGAGCATTATTAAGATGGAAAATGCATAAAGCTTTATGTAATACTTTAGCAGGCTGAAAGGTATATGTGAGGGCAGAAAGGAAAAAGAAGAGTCACACTGCAACTTGCATAGGATTTAATGCAACCTTCAACTAAATCGTGAAAAACTGCCACAATATTCTCCTTACTATTGTAAATTCCAACCTAAGAGCTATGATTATGTAAAAGTAAGAATAATGCATCACTGGAGCTCTTTGCTTCATAGATCAAAGGCCCAGATTCGTTAATAGATAAATGATAAGAAAAAGGAAACACCAGAACAAGACAGCAACCAATGGACTGTGAAAAAATACTTGCAAACCACATATCTGATAAGGTATTATTATCCAAGATTTTAAAAGAACTCTTACAATTCAGAAGCAGGAAACCAAATAGCCTAATTTAAACATGGGCAAAGGATCAGAACAGAAAATTTGTACAGACATACAAATGGCCAACAGTTACATGAAAAAAAAAGTTCAACATCGCGAATCATGCGGGAAATGAACATTGAAACTATAAGATATTACTTCGCACACATTAGTGTGTAGCAAAAAGGGAATCCTTGTATATTGTTGACAGGAATGTAAACTAGTACAGCTATTATGAAATTAAACCTAGAAGAACTACCATATGACCCAGCAATTTCTGTTCTGGGTATTATACCCAAAGGAGATTAAATCAACATGTCATAAAGATATCTGTACCACTGTGTTTACTCTATCATTATACAAAATAGCAAAGGATAGGCTAGATCTAAGAATCTATAAACAAATGAAAATCAATCTGTCACCTATAATAGGATATAATTCAGCCTTAAAAAGGAAAGACATCACCTGTTGCTGGTGGATCATGCCTGTAATCCTAGCTACTCAAGAGGCTGAGATCTGAGGATTGCAGTTCAAAGCCAGCCCAGGCAGGAACATCCGTGAGACTCTTAACTCCAACTGACTACCAAAAAGCCAGAAGAGAAGCTGTGGCTCAAGTGGTAGAGTGCTAGCTGTAAGCACAAAAGCTCAGGGACAGCTTTCAGGCCCTGAGTTCAAGCCCCAGGACCAGCACACACACACACACACACACACACACA